GTCATCATTATTGCTCGCCGATGGTTTTGCACGCAGATTTCTCATCACGTGAAATTCCTCAACGCAGCTACTGGCGTCACGGCTGTTACTCCCACCCACACACAATTGAGAAAAAGTGTCCAGTCGCCCGCAGTCTCTTCTAACTCCTGCCATTCACAGACAGGCAATGGCGGTGAAGATGATATCGCGCGGCTGGCATCGTCGTTTCGGCGAGTGCGTAGATGCCACGCCGGTCGATTCATGAATAAGAATAAGAAAAAGAAAAAGAAAAGGATTGCGACGCGGCGATTAATGGATACTTTTGGGGTATCGTATGACGTGATGATACACACAGTTGTTTAAGAGGTCTACTTCGAACTCCGGAGGTGGCGAGTGGGCAATCTGTGTATTATTCGTGAATTCCTCAGAGCAAATAATTTACCACACATAGATTTACTGGACCAGCTAAATCGGTACAGTGTCGAACTCAGAACCGATAGGTCCCGAGTTTGAGTCCGGGTCGAAATCATTTGTGGTTCTTCGTTCAAGGTGTTCAGTTCCACTGTCTGGGAAGGAAACTGGAGACTACGTACTACGCTTGCCACATCGCTGTAAACTCTGCCTGTAAAATAAAATACACCTAGCTGACAGGACAGAAACGAAATCAGCACCGCACCATCAGCTTCATTAAACGAAGGGTTCAATCATGACAGTAAAAAGGACCGATATTCCAAGGACGACAAACTTTCCTTTCCCTCATGTTTCTTTGTTCATCATGTTCCAAAATGAAACTACGTGATGAACATCTTCAATTTCATCAGATTTCATAGAGAATCGCATCGCGCCTAAACCTAGTCACGGATCCATGTTAATTGAGTTCCTGGAGTACCGGATGTATATGGCATCATTATGTTTACTACAGCCACTTAGCACCCATCACTAAAGATGTTTGAGGAGGGGTACTCCTGATATGGTAACGCGTAAATATCAAAGGACGTTACTTATTATAGTAGCCGGAGTATAACAAATAAAGCATAATTCTTCCAATACAATATTCCTTTCCAAAACAAGAAACACCGTTCATAATGAGCGCGAGGCAGCAAATAGAATGATGCGAGATGCATCTTGTAGTGCAGGTACTCAATTGCCATGGAGCAGATGCTTACGTAAATGGCTCATTCAGGCAACTAAGAGCAAGAGGGCAGTGCCGCCAATACGCCATGAAGACTTATCTTAGAGCAGTCATTCGTTAGTCTTTTGTTGTAGCTGAACGGGATATCATTACCAACGATAGCGCTTGTGCATCTACTGCCGAACTGAATGAATGTTTCTCCAGATTCTGCTACATAAACCTGTCCTATGCGATTCGTATTGTTATCCCAGTATTTTTTATTTCATCCTGCAATCGATCTCGAGATTCTACGATGGGACGTTTGTTGTCTTTCGGAACCCGGTTTCATGTTTCTTTAGTTCAATGATGGCCCGGTTATTCTTGCAACGTGTCGCGCCTCTTATCATTCTAATTTCTTCGCCTCTGTAATGACATCGCATACCACGATTTTACTTTTACCATTAGTTCGCCTTTTTATTCCAAACATAACTTTATCATGCTGTGTTACGTAATTTGTAGTTTCCTTTCGACCATTAGCACTGGATAACTCTCTGATCGAAGTTCATCATATGACAGTCTAAGTGTTTTGTTTATGAAGAGAGTGCAATTAGGTTTTATTAAGACAACAGAATTTTACATAACAGCTGTAAATGGATTGGAGAAGAAAGGAGATTGAGAAAAAATATCGTGGCAATGTTGCGTATGTGAAAACAGGCGAGACATTAGAACGAATAACTTATTCGAAACTTTAAAACTACCATTTTTAAATGTGCTCAATTTAGGTAGCGGTGGATCTCAAAATTAACGTCTATAAAATTTTGTTAGTCGAACTGGAAACAGATCGCTGTACAATTCTTGACTAACAATTAACTAACAGTTTGTAATCAAAAAAATATTTTATGTAAGTTCAGGATTTATTTTCGTTCTAGAATACTGTTTGAGGTAATGCGTAATAAACAATAAAAAGTGCACGAGATGTCTAAGAGATGAAAGAGATAATTTTAAGACACGGAAAGCGCAAACGTATTTGTTTTCAATGTTGACCGTTGGCACCACTCTCTGCACCTGTAGAGTTTCTGTTCGTATAACTGTATGGTGCGTGAAACCGTTCTAGTGCTAATACAGCAGTGGCCAAAAGCAAATAAACATGATTGATTTATTCAAGTAGGTCGCAAAGTGAGGTACGAAATAATTCTTTAGCGGCCAGAGAGAAAACCAGGATTGATGAAGGAACGCGTAAAGTGAAACTGTTGTAAAGCAACAACATCTAAACAAAGGCAAATATCTTCAACCAAACTTGCTGAGGTTACTGATGTTCCCAGAAGTAAAAAATAATAAAAGTTTGCTGTACATAATTTTTACTATGCGCACGGTACAAGCATAATTGTCATCACATTGTTTTGTTTTTGTAGAGTGCCGCCTAAAGGTCATCTGTAATCATAGCAAACGACATTCCCTTAATACGAATAAACCATTTTTGTAAGTAGTGAGATAAACAAGGGTAACAGACCTTAACTAACGACTGGTGCATTGATCTTGCCATAGCGTTTTTGAGGGCTGGACAAAAATAAGACAAACGGGACAGCTAGTCATCGATACAATTTGTACTAGAAAGCATTCTTTCTTTCTTGATGACCAAACAGGGTAAATAAAAACAACTTTGTCTCGCACATAAAGACGTTGCATAGAAAAAGTTAAACGTGCCCCTATATAGACGAATGAAAAAACAGTAGTGTGGGTGAAAGGGATCCGTAAGATGTAATAAAAAAAAACCTTAAAAGTACGAACAAGTGTACTTGATCAGTTGAGAGAAACATTTGGAGGGAAGGGACACAGTGGGTGGGGGAGCATAGTCCGCTGCTTGCACATAACGTATGTAAAGCAACGCGACAAAACAAGCGAGCACGTGATAAAATCCACATCATAACAGAAAACCGTCACTTTCGGCGATCAGGGAAAAGTACAAAAACAACACACATGAGGCTCGAGTAGCTAAAAGCAGCTACAGTTTACGAACAAACGAGCAAAGTACCTGAGATCGGAAGCGATCGCCGATGATTCGGCAGCAGGTATCGCTGCGGCAGGGACAACGGTGGCCGACGATGTTTTACGACTTCGCCGAAGGATACGTCGGTCAGCGACGGACGGCGTACCAAGAACAGCCGAAAGGCAGGGGCTGGACGTCGATGACGACAGATTGAGACGATGGTCGTCATCAAAAGCTACGCCATCATCGCCGGAAGCGACATCGGCAATCGTCTCAGCAACGATGGCACGCGATTTTCCACCGGTGTTGGACGTGGATTTGTGCCACCACCGGAACAGCGCCATCAGGGGTAACGACGACGAAGACGTGTGACTATTGATTGATTGATCACGTGCTAGAGCAGATAAACGATGACCACTGTCCAGTGATCGTGAGAAGCAAATAACGACAATCAGCGAAAATTTTGTCTCATTGATCCTTGCTGCACATCCTTTGTAAAATTTAAACAACACCGTTGCTACTTCCGCCTTTCACATAGCAGATGCATACCACGCCAGCGCGCACCCACTACCACCATGAACATAAGACGGCGCAGAAGCGCCGGACGTCAGTTGATCACGTGTCTTATCGTCTGGCGGCGCACCGGCCATGTCACGGGGCTACCGCAACAACAGACTAGCGCGTGCGATGTTGGCACGTTGCCAACACGTCGTTCGTCTCCGTTCTACTTTATCGAATGAAATGACGTCATTTTTCTGGCTAGACGTTTAATTGTCACGCGATGATTCGGCCAATGACGATTAAAGCAATTACTTGACTAGGTCCACCCACGCAGACGACGAATGCTGCCGAGCAAATAATGATTTTAACGAATTACGCAGGAGTAGGACGAGTGCGCCTTCTGTTCTACTTATCGCGCCCTTTCATTCAGAATTATGCAAATTTTCCTTTATTTTTGTACTGTATTAGTGATGTTCAAGTACGGTGCTAAAGGATTAAAACAACTTATCCGGTGGTGCTAAATCGTCGTTCGTCAAAGACGCCCTGGCGGATGGCGATCGGGCGTTCCCCGCTAACTAGCCGTCAGCAAAAACCAGTCGTAATGGTTACAGTCTAGTCGCGGAATGCAGCCATTCCACATGCCATCGTCTAGGTGCGTGAAGATCGTCCGACTGACGACGACCCAGTTTTCTTTTTGGGGCGAGGCCACAAACACTTACCATTCGTTTCATGCACCTTGATCAATTCTTTCGTCAGGAGAAACATTTCGCGCTGAAAAACGCTTACGTTTTGTTGTGTTGCTTTTCCCGTCCGATGTAACGTCGACTACAGTCAGAAGCGGAGAAAAGAAAACTAATAAAAGGAGATCTGCAACACCGCCGGTCTTTTTCTAAGCAGTCTACGGCGTATACCATCTGTGCATGAGTTTTTTTGGTATTCGTGTCGTGAGGAGCCGATCTTCGCTGGGGTTCGATTAGTCATCAGTGTCTGCAGTACTGTATATTGAGGGAGTTGTTGCTTCGTAGGTTGACCAATGTCAGGATCTCCGTTCTGTCGTCTTCAGCGATAGCACCGTGCAGCCAGAGTTAACTTGTAGAATTGGCCTAGTGCTCTCCAATGCTTCTGGAAATCTGTGTAATATTTGGGTTAAGAATCGACAGTCTACTTCCAAAAAGTGCACTTGGAACTTGGTTCCTTCTGGTCAGTGTTCATGTGCGGTATTGAGACAATTGCTCCATGGAAGGAGCAAGAACAAAGGACGGTTGAACTGCGTACAGCAGCGTTGGTTTCGATGCATAATGAGAGTTAATTGGCGTAACCACTCAAAGCATGGCTCTATTCTCTTTCGGACACAGGCGACCTCAGTAGATATTGAAATTAAGAGGAAGACGTTCTTCTTGTAAGACAAACTAGTTGAACACGAACAGTTTACTCCAGTCTTTGAGGTTTTATAAGCCGAAGGAGGACATACGTAGACCAAGAGGCCAGTGAGCAACCTGGAGGAACAGGATAGATGCAGATTCACCTTAAGAGAGTAATAATTCTTTCTACAGTCCTGTAACCGGAACCTACAGTCAAAATACTGTAAATCTGAGAATTCAATGGACATCACAGACCCCAGACCTGTTTACGCGCTCGACTCCAGGTAATGATTTCTACAGACACCGCACAACTGTAATTGCCTGTCAGCAACAATAAGCGTTAGCCATACAGTAAGCTGAACAGTTCTGCATATGGTTGCTCCAACGGTTTCTGATGCCGACATGAAGGAGGTGATTCCTATAACTTCGGCATTTTCCGCATTAACTGCTTCGGCGAAGTGCATTCTCTGTGTCATGGGCAGACCTGCTTCGAGTTGGTTTCTTCAGCTTTCAAACTGGACTGTTTTTCGTACCGAATGGTAGGACGTCACAAGAGGATAGCTGCTGCTAAGTTTTCTATCTTCTGAATTGGTTCATCATTATGATTATAGTGTTTTTGTTTTTTATGAACTTACTATGAACTGACAAATCTTTCAACACAGGTTAAATACCGGTTCATTTTTAACTATACGACAGTCCACCAACGGATCTAGCGATCATCTTTACAGTTTCGTTAGGATGTGTATGTCAATGTATTTGGCTCCTCCGTTGTCCGATAGGCAGTGTGGCATTGATTCATGAACCAGAAAATGCGTTGCTGCCATACTTCTGCCATGCGGTTTTTCCTGCTGCAGTGGTAGGGGTAATTGAATGCATGATTTTAATGTCCATGAGTCCGTCCATTACAAATGCTAATCACAATCCGATTCCATTTATTTTGTTTCTGTGCTGTGTAATTTGAAGACAAATAAAAGCGTTGTATGTCTTACTTAACGGTTAAGGCTATGTTCATAGTGATAATCAAGATTGTAGGGATAATCGAACTTCGTAGTAGTGATAATTTGACGGAGTCTATGAACCTTCGCACTCCATTCTCTCTACTAATAGCATAATCTCAAGCGGAAGTGTGATATTAAAGAGGGTTGGAAAATGGACCTTATATTTCACAACCTCGTTCGTCGACACAATCGTTTAATGAATAACTTTATTTAATAAACTTTATGATGATGCAACATTTCAGCGAAGCTTGACATGGTGGGAACATGGACAAAGATAAAAAAATATCATTCAGTCAATCAGTTTTGATAACCGCTTATCCTTTCGGCTAGCAGGAGCAAACGTGACAACAGTGTCCTCAACGTTTCCGACAGTGTGCTAGCGTTTTACCTGCTGCTGAAGAAAACTTGAGTCCGGAACATAGTTCTTCGAAACCTTAGATTATTCTTCGCCTCTGGTTGCCAAAGGTTATTCTTCAGAAAGCCCATTTCGGCTGCTTGTACCCGAGTTTTCACTCATCATTCACGGTTCATGGCATATATATAATATAATATAATAACGCATGGTGCTCGGTCCAGACCTCTGGTTTCTGACAGCACTCTACAGTAAATTCACAGCTTTCAATTTGTATAGTTGGACAGCGGTCATTTGCATGAACCATTTGATTTAATCCTGCCCCCTCTCCACCTCAAATTATGTCAGTGGAATGTTCTGTGTGACTGAAATACGATGCCATTTTAAAACTTGTGAATTCATAACTGTTATTCCATCGTGGTAATGGTGCGAAATCGTTCAGTCACTCCGCGGTCACGTAACCGTTAGCAGGAGTCTATATAATTAACGAATAGTTATCCGTGCCAAATACTTGAACTGACCCTTCATAACATGGACTGATCGAGAGCTCTCTGTGAGCACGATACGAAACCTTGGTCATAATTGTCAATTTCAGAGTTTGAAAATGATTCTCGCTTGACGATTTTTTGTGCTCATTAAAGTAATGCGTCACGAGTTTCAGTTTATGGAAATTTCACAAGCTAATCTTTATTTCTTTTGCGAATAATTTTATCCAATTCAGTACCGATGCAACGCTCTTTCTGAACTTAATACTTAAAGTTATTGTCACTATAGTGAGCTTGCATAAAGTTAAGCCCACAACTCGTCAATGTCATTTACACCAGCTGCTACTACATTTCAGTCATTGTATTTTACCGAACTGACCTCCTGACCTCGTTCAGTCATCACGATAGAATCATCATTCAAAACAGAGATTTTTGAAATTCAGAAACTTGAACACGACATCTCATTATTCGTATGAAGCTAACCACTGACAGACAACATAACAGATGAAGTCACGTAACTCATTCGGAAGACCGTCAATCATGCAACTTCTAACTTGCAACAGACTTAATGACTTCACACGGTCATCATATGACTTCGTTGCCTCCGCCGTCGCCGGAAATGGATGAGTTCATTGAATAGTTATGTGAACCGGCTGCTGCCGCTCAAGCACAGTTGCGATACACTGTACGAAGAAGCTCTTCGAGAAAGAAATGTATCTGTTTTGTTGAGCAGGTGTGACGTTCCCTTCTACTGCAAGCCTTCACAATTACTTGAATGGACAGGTCCGCAAATTGCACGATTTGTGTGCACGCACAATTACGCTGCGATCGGAACCCTTTACCTGCGAAGTGATGAGAGTTCATGATGTTAAGCACTTTTCGGATTACCCTCCTTCATTGAACTTTGCCGCTGCCGGTCAAAAACGCGGATGAGAAGAAGAGACAGTTCGGAACCGTTGCCACCGTGAAGCTTAACGATCCGCTCCTCATGATGTGAACACTGTCGAACGTCATTATACCGGCTATACTGGCTCAGTCATCGCATTCCTCAGAAAACTGAGGCAGACTGCGCAAAGTCTGTCGTTGGCAATCGACTCATGCCTGTCGGCCGCGCAATTGCATCAGGAGGCATTTGTAGTGGATCCTAATTTTTGCTAGGCAGAGAACCGCCGTCGTTTGAACCACAACGCGCGGATATGCAGGACTATCGCCTGCTATCAGACTTCGCGTTCAGTATCCGCTTCTTTACGCGACCATGGCGCACACGTGACAATCATCCCGAGGTCCTAAACTCCCTCTTCTCAGCCAGTCGTTCATTTCAACAGTATTTGATACCAGATCAGATCACTTTACTCGTAATACCGATTTTGAGATCTTCCTTTTTACCACTTCCAGTTCTCTTTCACCTTTCTCAAATGCAGCTGTCTCCAAGCCACAGAAAAAGATGTGCAGGATACAAGCCATGTTTAGGCGTAACTCTGTGCTGTTGACAACGTCCTTGTCCTTGCGCAGCTTTAATGGATTGTTGCTCACTACTAACGCCAACTCGCAGCGCCCCTTAAACTCGTTCTGCAGCCAATGAGCATCTAAATGCAGA